TGTTCGTAAGTTAACTTACTCATCGAAGGAGTTCATTACTAGTCGATCATTATATACCATTCGATAGCGCTTTTCAAGGACTACATTTACTACTGTTCGAATTCAAAAAAGCTCACTTGTCGATTTTGTTCAAATTTCCGCCTGAATGCCCACTGTGGAGGGGTCTTTCGTAAATTGAATGCAGTTCGATGAGAAAACGTCGTAGAGAGTTCGGCGATGTCTAGTTTTGTTCAGAAATGTTTGCTCTACACGAATGGGTTGTTTGTAAAAAGTTTCCGTTAGAATCGCGGGACTTGATTGTTTGAGATTTTCTAAAATCTAGGTTTTCCACAGACCTGGTTTGCAAAACTTTTAATGGAATTTTCATATGCATCTCATCTGATTATAAACTCTTTCAGTTTTCAAATCTTTTTTCACATTTGTTCTAGTTATTATGGTTGAAGAGAAAAATTAAAACTAAAGGTGAACCTATAATTTTGGTCGGTACTATACATACACACTGTACGGAAGAGAGAGTATTACAAATTCTATTATTCGAAAAATATTTACGATTCATTGCCGGTCACATGAATTAATAATGCTGTATGAATTTCAGTACTGATTGTCGATGAATTACATCTAAAATACGATAAAAAGAAAATTTTTTTAGACATCATCTCCGATTACATAGAAATATCTGTACACATACTTTGTACATGTACGTTCAGTTTTAATAAAAAATTGAAAATTTGCCGTTGTTGGATCAACAATCTTATTTATGTCTATTGGATGACGATTTAATTCTAATTGTTCAAATATGGTTAACGTTGTTTGATTTTCAATTTTCTCTCGAATAGCTTGAATTTCATCAGTTATTATCGATATAATTAAGTTAAGAAATTCATGAGAATCCTAAAAATAAATAAATAATAGACTTCATTACAATGAATATTATAGTCAACTGTGTCAGACTTCTTGTATTTTAATTTATATTCAGAGACGATGAAATAAACTTTTTTATCTATTCATCTCTTGACTGAGCCATTTTTTTTTGCTTTTTATCTTTTTAGCTTTTTGCTTTTTATCTTAAAATTTTCGGTGATTAAACAAACTATAAAGCACAGAGCTTATTGAAATTTTATTATCATTTTTTTAATTGTGAAGTTTTTGGAATGATATATAATACAAGAATCTTTGTCAGATAAAAAGAATGGTTTTCTTTGACATAGATTCTGTTCATGGTAAACATTTTTAAAGATCTTGTTTTTTAATTCTTCAACTGATCTCACAATTACTATGTTATTTAACTATTGTTTATATAAATAATAGTTGAACATGCAGTCGTTCTTTTATGTCACGGAAGTTTTGCTTTTTATTTTAAAAATATATATTAATCTTAAAAAAAAAAAGTTTAGTCCTAAACGATATTATTTTTAAATATTGATGCTATTATTTGTCGTTAAAATATGAAAAAAAACAAGATTTTTCTATTGATATTACTTTATATCAAAACACGAACATTTTGTTTTTTTATTTGAAATTTGACAGTATATGTCTGCGTGTTTCGTCGTAACAATAAAAGGACTAAAGCCGAACAATATAAATTTCGCTATAAAAATAAACGTTAAAAAAAAAAAAAAAAAAAAAAAAAAAAAAGAGAAAAAAACCCGGTAATGAACCACCACTCTATTTTTTAATTGTGTTCACTTTTTTTTTCCTCTCTTTTTTTTCCTTTTTATTCTCTCACTCACTTATATAATTTTAATGTTAAGGTGTGTCTGTGTGTGTGTGTGTGTGTGTTGTATAGAGATCAATTATAAAACAAAAGTAGCTTATTTCCAGTTTATTAAATCGACATTCACAACTCAAATATGATGGCTACACCGCCATCAGTAACAACAATTGAACGATTTTGTTTTATTTTTATACAAATATTATTTTATATTATATTAACATCAATATTTTATATTAAACTTGAACAATTTACTGGAAAACAAGAAAAATTAATTAAAACAATTTTAAGAAATAATAGTTATCAAAATTTAACTGTATCATCGAATGAATTATTGAAAAAATTATTTTTACAATGTACCAAATGTGTTGAACGTTATCCATGCATGTATGTTATCAAACAATATTTTTTGATTTTTTCAATATTTTACATAGTTTTTACTTTCATTTTTTATATATTCTAGTTCACAACAAACAAGATTTTCAAACGATCAGGAGATTATAAAAAATTATGGTTTTAACAAACATTACGGTAGTATACAATGTTAGTTCTTTTTATTTTCTTTGAAAAAAAACGATAGTTCTTATCGACATAAGAGTCTCATGAACAAATGAAAATATAAATAATGATTGAAAACACATTATTCTAAATTCAAAGTCTATCAAGATATTTTTTAATTCAAAATATGTATTAGTAAAAATATTCATGAATTTTTTTTTTTTGTTAAACAACATGTTTATTTTTAATTGTAAAATGAAATATTCTAAAGATTATTTAGAAACTTTGTAAATAGTCATATTATATGATCTGTACACGTACGCCTATATATTGATACATTTTCAACCAATAATAATAGAATTAACAATCGTTAATTAATATCGAAAACTTTTTTGTCACAAGTTGTCACAGACTATAAGCAGTTTTTTCAAAAAAGAACATTTGTATAACATCAGTTATCAACTTTATGTGTAGACTATTTGAAACTGTGTAGAGTTCCATTATATTTTTCTTTGACAAAAAAAAAACAAATCCATTTTTTTTTATCAAAAGAAGATAGGAAAAAAATCAGATTTCTAATAAAAGTAGAACAATTGACTGTTGTCATTTTAATTTATTCCTAGAACATACTGGTTATCCATTACTTATCAAACATCGTCATTCAATTAGTTATAAACAAAATAGAACTACAAAATGTTTAGAATTAGAAATTGGTTCTAATCAAAAACTTCGAGATGTATTTTGTCATAATCAAAATCAAACATGGTTAATTATACAGAGTCGTCAAACAGTTTTTGAAAATTTTAATCGTTCATGGTTAGAATATCGAAATGGTTTTGGTAATTTAACAACAAATGATTATTGGTTAGGTAATGAAAATATTCATTGGTTAACAACAATGTATGAATGTCGATTAAAAATAATTTTAACCGATTGGTATAATGAAACGAGATATGCTGTATACGACTATTTTCATATTACAAATGAAGATGACAATTATCGATTATTAATTGATGATTATCATGGAAATATCGAAACTACTAACAATAAAATAAACAGTAGGTAGATCGTTTTCTTTTTCTTAAGTGAAAATTTTCTTCTCAATTCTGATCGTAATAAATCTCAATAATTAATAAGAATTTGAACAATTTTTCTTTTCTTCTAATTTTTTTTCTTTTCCTTTACAACTGATATTCGCAGGTGTAAATGAACGTTCTTACACTCGGTTGTGTTTGTGCCTGTATTGTTCGATTGATAAATAAAATTTTTATTAAAAAAAAATCTCAATAGTCGTTTCTACTAAAGCACGATAAAAGAGAGTCGAAAAACTAATATGCATAACCTTGTACAATGAATCATCTTTCTAACAACAGATTTTAACTCGTCTCTGTTTCGAGAAAACTTTGAATAGAGGAAGAAATGAAGTTTAAAGAAGTTGTTGTAGACCTTTACAAATAGTTTATTAATCCCTGATTTTCTAACACCTGCTCAGACGCAATGGTAGACGAAGTGTTGTGTATGTGTGGATTTCAAGAGAAAGGAACTGTTGAAGTTCGCGCTTCAAGTTAGTTTGTGAAGATGAGAAAATAAATTTCGATTAATATACTAAACTAGTATGGTCTTTTATTAGTAGTCAGTGTTAATTGTTACTTGTCAAAGATGAGTACTATAGATAATAAACAGATTGTCAATTCAGAAATTGAGGATTATGATAAAATATATTGGGAAGACGACGGTGACAAAATAATACTTCACAAATATGTAAAGATTTTAAGAGAAAAAGAAAATGAGATTAAAGTGTACTGAGTAAACCGTAGGAAAAAGTAGGAAAGAAAGAAAGAATTAACTGTCTGGAATCGGATTGAACAGTATGAGTGAGAAACATGAAGAGTTTTTTGAATTCGACGTTTGTGTCATAGATGTAGAATCCATTTCAGAACCCGTTACGCTTTGTCACTCTGAAATAAAAAGTCGAAAATTTTTTTATGATTATTTCTCTACAGAACGGATAACGATAATGTCACCCGATCATCGTTGAGTAATGATTATATCTGTAATAGAGCTGTGCAGGGCGCTCTTACCCTATCCTACCCTTATTCTCCTATCCTCCTATTCTAGTATTTCTACTATTCCAGTATTTTCAGGGTCGGGTAGGGTCGGGGCTCTAATATCACCTGAAGTTACAGGATAGGGCTTGGACTTTGTTTGACAAATCTTGGTGAATTATATTGTAGGTAGGACACGACAACAGGTTAGGGTAGGGGGAGAATACAACAATTTTTCACAGAAAAGGCCAGGGCTCCAGAAAGAGTTACCCTGTATATCTCTAGTCTGTAATCGAAAAAAAGTTCCACTTCACGGGTAACCCACCTCGTTCATTTTTAGATCGTCTTAGACACACATTTCCCGTGTTTGATCGTATGAATGAGGATTTTGAATATCTTTGTTTTGTTTGATATTAGTTTTTCTAACGAAATAAACGTTTTCTCAAATTCCTTATTCTATCTGATGTTGTCGGACGTTTTTGAAATTTTGATTTTTTGCCTATCGAGGAATGACGCACAATCGGGATCTTCTCATATATATTCTTGTTGTCATCAAGGTGATTTTTCCTGATCTTACGAAAAGAATCAAGAATGCAGGTCAATAAGTTATTTACTGATTATTGTACGAGATGGGTATTGTTTTGCATGAGTTGAATGCCTATAGAAGCCAATGTAAATGTATGTATTCGACTTTATTGAATTGGATGTACTCGTGATAGAAATCTTTGTATAATGATATAAATGTGTTGTCTTCTATTCACAGATTTCAGAGTTTAAGAGAAAAATTTTCACATTACTGGAAAGCTTTTTTTAATATTCATTGTAATCAATCAACCTATTTAACATTTTTCTAGATGTTCTCTTGTTTATCGTTTTTTAACTCGTATCTAGAGGAGAACAGTAGACATAAGTGTTCATACGAAAACATCATTGTTTTTTTTCAACAAGTTTAAACTATAGTTCTACAACAAATGTTTCTTCTTTTCTTACATGTCAGCCATGTTTTACAGTCTCAACGCCGGATGAAAAACTGAGAAAAATTTTTTCTCTTAACAAGATACTTCCTTTCTTTCTGACTAATTAACTTTCTTTGCTCAAACGGATGTAACAAATATAAAAAATATCGATATAAAGTTTCAATAGACTCTCTATTGATTACTAATATTTTGCACTATGCCACTAAGAAATTCTTCGTTAAATTCTTGTGCAAGATATCGAGTTCATTAGAAGCATAATAACTGAACACTTTACACATAACTGATACGAAAGTGACTTGGATCAGTTTATTAAACTTATCGAGTATTTCGTCTCGGATTCGAGTCCGAGTCATCCATTCAGACTCTAGTTTGATCACCTTCTTCTCTTGAATTTTTCCTTTCTTCTTTCAAACGATAAGATTACACAATTAATGTTATCATTTTTAGGTCTAATATTATGGCACAATAAAGCTGAATTTTCAACATATGATCGTTACTCGACACTCCTTAATTGTCCACAACTCTTTGGTGGAGGTGGTTGGTGGTATACATCCGATTTATCATGTGGACGCGTTCAACTGAATGGTCATCTAGCAACTCATCAAGATGGTTTAGTTCCATTCAATACAGGCATTATGTGGCTCTCATGGAAAAATGATAGACACTATTCATTTCGATCTGTTCGAATGTTAATTAAACAAAAAACGAAAAAATAAAAAAAAAACTTACTTGATGTCGCGAACCCAAAAAACTTTCTGAATGTTTTTCGGTAGCCTTTTTTAGATTTGTTAGAGCTATTAATTCTAATGTGCGTTCGTCGTCTGTCAAATTAATTTGTGTTGATAGACGATGTTGCATCAATGCTAATATACGTAATACACAACTAAAAAACAAACAACAAAACTTTATTTATGCTGAAAATAAAGTTCAACAAAGTTCTCTCTATATAACAAATACGAACAGTTGTAATATGAAGAAATTCTCTTACTCACATATATATTGTGTCATCTTCTAATAATTTTGATTGTATCAATTGTTGATTTGTTACCATGAGATCATATCGAAATGGATCGATATTCAATAAGCATTGAAGTATAGCATTCATATAGCATGTACTGCCAATGTTTTTCAATCCTTTTTTTCTTAAACCTGAAGATGATAATAATGACGATGATGTTTCCACTGTAGATGATAGTTTTGATAAAGGATATGTTACTGATGGAGAACGTGTTGCATAAAAACTGTAACGACGGTTTGGCGAATCGTCAAAACTGTTCTCAACGTATTTTGTAAGAAGCGGTGATGTCGTTATGGTTGTTTTTGATGTTGAAAGTTTGCGAAATGAGTTTGAAGTAGTAGTGATGACGGCGGCCGCTTTATTTAATAATTGTGAAGTATTATTGTTATTGATATTTTTATTACTGATATTTGTAGACGTATTACTATTTAACGATGTATTTCCATTATTATTGAACATAACTAGTTGTGTAGAAGATGTCTCTACCGCTCTTTTACGACTGGTACTACAAAAAAAATAGAATAAAAACAACTCATAGTTTGATGAAAGAAATTGTACAGAGCGTTTGTATCAAAGCTAAAGTTATACTGTCAAAATAATGTATTATTCTACAAGACCAATTTTTATTTTAGTAGAATCTTTAATTGTGAATGGGAGTTGATGAAGAAGATATACAAATAATTTAAAGTAGCAAATATCTAAATTTACTTTTGTAACGGTGATGGTTTGTTTATGACTGGTGAATTTTCATCATTTTCATCTTGATATGAAAAATTTTCTTTCATCTTATCTAATTTGTTTGTTTTTGTTGTTATTGATGATGACAACGAAGAATATGACGGTAACATTATATCATTTTCGTTGGTTAATTTTGATTTGTTTTTTGAATCAAACGATGCAAATGATGTTGATGTATTTATTGATAATGAATTTGAGCTCATATTTTGATCACTACTACTACAGCCTGAAATATTTGATGCTAAGAACAGAGAAAATAAACGGAGCTATTCTTCTATATAGAAAAAATATTGCGTTATTTACAGATCAGATTAGTTGCCTTCAACTAAACGTTTGGGGACATTTATTTTAATCCTACTCGTTCGTATAACAGCGAAAAAAATGTTCACCAGAACAACTATGTGACGTGACATAGGCACAATCTGTTCCTAATCAATTTAGTTATCATAAAAGAAAATTGATAGACTAATAACAGGTATACAATTTTGAATTGAATGTACCTACCAATAAGATTATCATTTAACAAATCTTGAAATGCGTTTTCTAATTTTTGAACTAGAGAGGTATCCTCTATGTTTGATAATTTAAGCTGACGTTTGCCTGTAAGATTGAATGCAAGTGATTTTGAATCATTTTTGACGACTTTTAATAGAGTATCTTTGCTTAAGTTATACGTAGCAACATTAATACCTGAAACAATACCAACAAATATAAAACACAAATAAATTTTGACTAATAAAATTTAACGTACCTTGTGTTGATATTATTACACACACTGATGTATCATTGAATACAAATTCAAACAATGACGCTTTTTTACTTTTTAGTTTTGAATGTGTTGAATCAAACGCAGTACCTTTACATTGAATCTTAATAGTCATTTTTAATTGATATACAAAATTTTAAATTGTATCATTCATCTAGAATGAAAATGGAGAACAGACATAATCAGAAATGCACAAGTATAAAACGTTAATTGGCATTTGAGAAACGAAATTGATTTCTATATTAAAAAATGTTTCAAAATGAGTCAAAGACAACGTGATACAATAGTATATTATAGTTCTTTTCTGTTCACAGAAAACTATTCAACTATATGCAAAGGAAAACAATTCCCAAAAATAAGATGCATTGTATTTCTCTGCTAACAATCGCTTATTAACAAGCTCTCAATTTTATCTGACTTAAGACAAATATTTTTCGACGTTTGCAGAAATATAGAATGTTAGTAATCATGGTTGTAGTTTTACTCTTTTTCTATACTATAAATGATGTCAGTTATAACTCCTTTTAGATTCAAATTGAACAAATTTATATTGGATAAGATAGCAAAATCGATTAGATAAAATACAACTGATGAATATATTTAAGGTAGTACAGTCAACTAATCGATTCGAGGATGACGTTATCGGGATTAAACCAAATAGAATATTGACATCGCGTTTAGTATTAAATGTTGTATTTTTGCTATTATGTAAGTAATAAGAGCATGACTGTCGGATTTCCTCTCCATTATTTTAATTATTTTTTAGGATATTTTTTCATAAAAAAAATATGTCTGTCTGTCAACTAGAGAATTCGTACGATAAATCTTCAATATAAAAAGATGATAGAAAAAAATGTCAGCTTGATCGTATCACTGTTATATTATACTTGTGATTGATACATAAAGCACTGATTAAACATTAGCAATATATGTACATTCACAATTAACTGAAGAAGCTATACAATTTTTAGTCAAATATCTCATTAGTAATTACGGCTAAGTGATATCGAGAAATATTGCATTGTACATTGAATATGAAAATGAATAAAGTGTTTCAATTGTGTTACTTTATTTTTTTATGTTATTAGTTAAGAATAAACAAAACAGCATGCAATTTGTTTTGTTCTACACGTATATTAATCGAAAGTAGATAAACACCTTTTTGGATAACTTATTTACATAAAAGAAACACACACTTCTTGTCGAATTTTTTAGAATGGACTTTCTGCTAAAATTTTATTCCTCCTAATATTCAAAATAATCGAAAATCTTGAATAAGCGATAAAAAAGTATGATTATAATAGCAAATAAAAAATATTGTATCGTTCTATCTCGCAGCTATGAGAAAATAAAATTTAGAATGTTAGTACAAACAATAGTGATTTAGAATTATGCACTATTCGTAGTTTTCACTTGAGTATCAATGTTCATAACGGTGAAGTGAGGAAACATGGAGATTTTTAGATAGAATTTGATTTGTATTTCTTAATTTGTTTAACTAATTAATCGCACGTACTGGAACATTTATCCGAAAAAACCAATGTAACAGACTTTTTAATTTTTACCATTCAGAAGATTTATTTTAATTATCAACTAAAGAAAACGACAGTGAAGTTATTGCACATAATATTATTAGTACAATATGTCTCTACAACCAACAGAAAAAAAGTTTTAGAAAATGACCTTCCATTCAAAACTTTCTTATGAGAAAACAACAAGGCGAACAAACAAAACTTTTTTTCTTATTGAAACTATCTGTCTATATATAAAACATCTAAAAACTTCTTTCAATTAACATAAAAAAACAACACTGACGATATGAAGAGTCAAAGAAATAAAAACAAATAAAATAACTTAAAAGATAAAATAATTTTTTCTATTCGAACGATAAAAATTCCAAGAAAAAAAAGTCTTATCCATGTCGACTATCCTTATAGGAAAAACAGAATCTGATTTACAATAAAAAAGTTACCACAATGTTTGTAATACTGTTATATAGTAGAATATCTCGATACATCATGATTCACCGATATATTACGAAATGATTTCTCTTTTACATAATAAGTTAAGTTTCAGAGTCATCTTGTGTTTTGTACCTTCATATTACTACAATTCAATTTACTCTTCTATGCTTTGTGCAGAAGAGTAATGTAGAACGTTCATAATAGAAGAACAATTTGAAAAGTAGAATACGCTAATCGCTAAATATTTGCTCATTTCTTGTTTTTAACAAGAATCATGTAAATTGTATTACGTTCGCTTAAAAGTTATATATAACCTAAACAATCTGGTGTCATTTCAAACAGGATTTTTAAAACTTTGCCATAGATGGAACTTAGATATCACAGTTTCTTACCATATTCAATGTTCTTTTCCCTCCGTGAAAATAGGTTCTTTTGAGTGCAGTTTATCTGAAGCTTGCTATAATTGTTTGACTAACAATGAAAGAACACGTAAATGCACAAACAACATGACCGACTATTTCAAAAACTGTGTTTTTTTAAAGTTCTTCCATAGGTATATAAACAACTTAAAAAAATTCTAGCGAGGTGATAGAATCTTAAAAGAATGTATCGCGATATAGAAGTTAATAGTTAAAGTATTACAAATACTAAAGATATCTCGATAATTTGTACACCGATATCTATGACTCATGACGTATTCTGATAGACAAGTTAACTTTTTGCACTAATATTCTACTACATTACGCGAGAGATCTTAAAAAAATCGTCATGGATATTTATTTTCTAGTGATAACGACAACGATAATAACGACAACAATAATAACAACAACGAAGAAAGAAAAAAAGCCTCAAAAAATTCTAAGTATGCATATAGTTTGAGATTGCACTGTTTTTCTTTTCTGAGTCTTTCAATCATTCAGATCAATTTCATTCTTTCATTCGTTTTTTTTTTCTGTTGGGCTCCTAATACTCGTACCGCCGGTAATTTTTGTTGATTCGATTGTTGGCGTCTTTTCATCGGTGGTTGAATGATCTTCATAAGCAAACATTAGTTTAATATCATTCTTTAATAATGCGGTTAACAACGGAAAGATTAGACATAATGGAACAATGTATAATAATGCTGGTTGCGCATGTTTGAATATTTGGAGCACGAGAATTGTTACAAGCAAAGCAATTATATAGGCCACAAAGGAAACATTGAAGTATAATGTTGAACCATTTTTTCCTTGTCTAGTCATATCATAACGTAATAATAAAGCAATAAATGCACCTGGCACAACAATATCACCTACAATTAATGAAATGATTGTTGTGAAATGGATAGCGGCATAATGAAACAATAGGTTTCGACTGAGGTATTACAAAGAGATATGATTCTGAGTGCAGACGAATTATTTTTGAATCACCTTAACAGTTCCAATAAAAAAATTTAATGGCAGGAACTTTCCTGTTGTTGAACATGCAGAAGACAAAATTAAATAAATTTGATAACAGGATCTCACAGAAAGAAGTGAAGTGATCCATAATTTTCTGAACTTACCTAAACCTAACATGGCAAATTTATTTGCACTAAATAAACCATTTTCAATCAAATCTTGTGGAAATAGTAATTTGATTGGCGCATCAAACGATTTTGCAACTGTAATCATAACATCTGTGCCAAATACCCAAAATATATCGTAAACGAATAGGCCACTTAATAGT